GCGGCCTGGAGGTGCTGCGCCATGCGCAGCTTGAGGAGCACAGTGGGCAGGCGGCGACGGCAGAAAGACGAGGCCGTGACGAAGTCGCAGAGCTCGAGCGAACCGCGCGTGGGCACCAGGCCTAAAGCATACAACTTATCCAGCAACGCTGCAGAGGAACGAACGCGAAACGGGTCGTTCTCCGGCAGGTCACGCAGGCGCCGCGCTAGTTCGCGGACAGCACGGCTCAGTTGGTTGTAATGCGTGTAGTCCTCGCGCCGCTGCAGCCGATAACGGCGCAGCACACGCAACTCGTGCAGGTTGTGATCAGTGACCTCCCAATTCAGAAAGTCTACCTGCTTCAGCAGTTTCTGCTCGTGGAACTTAAGTTTCCGAACCATGATGGCCACAGCAGGATCGGTGTGACTAGCTGGCAAGAGGCGAGTTCAGGCATCTCTCTCCATTTATTTTTACCAGACCCATCTAAACAAGATGAAAACTATTCAGTGGGGACTCTCTCTTCCCCCACACACTCTTAAACTAAACTCCCTCTTGAAACTTTGCAAGCCAATCATTTTGTGCCTTTCTTGCCCCCTCATTTTACATAGCCAATGTCTAAGTTGCCCATCCCTATCTACCCTGTATACAGAGGGGATAGCGTTGATACTTGATGTGAAGACTCCTCTCTCTGTTGGTGTTTAGAATTACTACTTCCATGAGTATAGGTCAGATTCATCAAATTGCTACAATTTACCTTTTTTTTCTTTATCAAAAAAAATTTTTTTTTTTTTGGTAATCTTCTTTTTGTCGAGTACTGATTATCAAGCCATCGAGGCTTCGTCAAATGGGTACTATCTGCAAGTTTGGGGGTTCTTGTGCATCTCCCCTCACTTCATATCAGTTGATGCTTCTCTCAGCTCTAGCCCTCTGTGGCTATGTCCTTGTCTGTGGGCTCAGGTGTCCCCAGGTCTCACCACACTTTGGACCAATCAGCCCTTCCTCTTCTCTCTATCACCTCCAGATCAACAGGAGTCTATAGAGAATGGTTGAACTCAGCCCATTTCTTCATTGCTGCATTTTCCCATCTTCCACTCACCAGTAGACCAGTGTGGTCACCAGTAAGTTTACGTGTCTGCTCATGTGTTCCCTTTGAGTTTCAGTCGGGCGGGGTGGGGGTGGGGTTTGGTCCTGAAGGGACTTGATTGCTTGCCTTGATGGCTTCCTGGAGAACAACTTGCTTATTCTTGTAGTAACCAATCATACTGACATTTTTATTTTAGTTTTTCCTGCTGATCTTTGATTGAAGATGTATCTTCTGTCACTCTAGCTGTTCCAGGCAGGTCTGCTTGTCCTTTCTAGTGGGAATGTCCCACAGTACTAATTGCTTTTGCTCTTCTCAAGTGGTACAAGCTTGGCAATCACAATATAATTAAGTAGATGTTTTTGTATGCAAATATCTTGTGATCACTACATCAAGCTATTGTATTTATTCTAGCAAGAGATGCATTTTTTTTTCTTTTATTAAGTGTTTCTTGTGAATTATGTGATAGTTTACATGGGAGAACACCAGCTTTACATTCATCCTATTGTATTTCATTTCATTGTAATGATTACAATCCCCTCCATGCGTCATTAAACGACCAAAGGGTACACTCCACAAGCCTGCCACCCAGCTGTCAGCACACAGCTCCTCTCCCTCCCTGAGTTCAGAGTTCCCAGCTGCTCCATCTCTCCATGTCATCAAAGAGATGCATTTTTAAAAGATGAAAGTAAGAGCAAGACTTGAAAATCCGAGCTCTGGTAGCGTAGTGGTTACGAATCGGGCTGCGAACCTTAAGGTCAGTGGTTCGAAACTACCAGCCACTCCGCGGGAGAAAGATGAGGCTTTCTACTCCCGTAAAGATTTACACCCTCGGAAACCCTGTACAGGGTTGCTATGGGTCGGAACCGACTCGACGGCACTTAACAACAACAACATATATTAATTATCATTTTTAAAAATGATACTAATTGATAAAGATTCCTCTGTCTTCAGATCATCCCAGTGCATTTTCCCTGGTTGATGCTCTGTTGTAATTAATGGATACTCAACTGCCATTTTTCACGTGGTTGTGAATCTGAGCATGGAATATTTTGTCCTGCTGGCCACCACAAAGGAGAGTGCTAGCCTGCAATATACTGTATACCGAAATTATAAATAGAGCTTGAATCAGACAAAAGAGTAGAGAATAAAGAGTTAAAGTGAGTCAAACAATTTTAGAGACTTGAGCTTGAAATATGATCCCATCTTTTCCTTTCAGTTATTTTTATTTTTGTTCTCACAGGCTCAACGGAATCATCACAAGTTGTTGTTATTTCAAATTACAATGAAATATAATCTCCTTTCTTTCCTGTTTCATGGATTTACTCTCTTTTATCCCCTTTCCCTATTCCGGTTTCCCATGCCATCATAAACAAATATTCTTAAGTGTTTGATGTATTCCCTTATATTAGCATGTGTCCTTGAAAAAATGTAGTGGACCATAGTTTACTCATAGTTTCAAGATTTTTTTTTTTGTTGTTGTTGTTATCTGTTAAAATTGCAAAGCTGTAATTGAAAGATGAGTACAATGAAGAACTTGGATTTATAATTGTTAACATGTTGTCTTTTTTGAAAATCATCCTATCAGTCTTTCTCTTTCTGAGTTTATACTTTTTTTTTTTTTTCTTTCTGGTTGGAAATTACAGACACCTTAGCAATTCTCCTCAAATATTTTAGCTTGGCACTTCTAAGAATAAGGGTATCCAGCTGTATACACAACAGTATACTATGATTCAAGATGCTGTTGTTGTTGTTGTTAGGTGCCATTAAGTCAGTTCCGACCCATAAAGACTATGTATAGAGTTTCTGAGGAGCAGCTGATGAGCTTGAAACACCAACCTTGTGGTTCAAAGCAACTTTTCAGTCCAGCACATTACCCACAGGGCCACACTAGGACTCCATCATTCAAGATAATTCATGTTAGTTCAATAATATCAATGCACACACAAGTCAACCCTTGGTGTGACACTGTAGGATAAGCATTGGACTGCAAACCATAATGTTGGCATTTCAAACCCACCATTCATTCCTTGGCAACCCTGCACTGCATCATTATGAGTCAGAACCAACTCAAAGGCACTTAACAACAATGACAACATACAAGAGAGCTTCCAAAAGTTCATGGAAGAATGGAATTAAAACAATGGAAATTTCAATGACCTGTTTGAAGCCCCCTCATACAGTATATATATATATCTCCATATGTTGTTAAGTCCTGTCGAGTCAGTTCCGACCCATAGCGACCCTGAACAGGGTTTCCGAGGCTGTAAATCTTTATGGGAGCAGAAAGCCTCATCTTTCTCCCGCGGAGCAGCTGATAGTTTCGAACTGCTGACCTTGAGGTTTGCAGCCTGATTCGTAACCACTACGCTACCAGAGCTCCTTATATATTCATATAGATATGTTCCTATATGGTCAATGTCACTCATTATCTTCCTATGGTCTTTAGTTGCTTAATCTTTCAAACCATGACCCAAACTGTGTTCAAACATTACAGTTGGTTCTGTTTCTTCACAGCAGAATGAGCTTCTCACTTGGTATTGTTATTGTTTTGTTGCTGTTGTTAAGTGCCTTTGAGTAGAACTGTTCTATAATTTTTTTTTAAAGCAAACAGCCGCGTCTTTCTCCCACAGGTTAGTTGGTGGGTTTTGGCTAGCATATGAGCCCTTAACCACTATACCACCATGGTTAATAATAAGAGTACTGGTATGGCACTGTGGGCTAATGCACTGGACTGCAAAGTCAGTTTGAATGAAAGGTTGTCAGTTCAAGCTCCCCAGCCATTCATTGGAAACTCTATACAAGATCTCTGTGTGTCAGAACCTACTCGACGGCACTTAACAACAACAATAATAGCATTTTGTTATGAATGCTTACAGGAATTATTCTGGAATTTATAGTAGTAAATTCAGACATATTGTCAGACACAGTTGCTGGAGAAGGATATCATGTTTGGTAGGGTAGAGGGTCAGAGAAAAAGAGAAAGACCCCCAGCGAGATGGATTGGCGAAATGGCAGCATCAATGGGCTCAAGCGTGGCAACAACGGTGAGGTTGGCCCAGGATTGGGCAGTGTTTCATTCTGCTGTGCATAAGGTCGCTATGGGTCAGTACCGACTCGATGGCACCTAACAACAACAATGATAAGTTTGCTGGAGTCCTGTTGTGGCACTGGAGGATAATGCACTGGACTGCCAGGTCAGTTTCAATCGCAAGGTTGGCGGTTCAAGACCACCAATTTCTCTTTGGAAACCCTGTGCTGTTGTTGTTAAGTGTGGGCAAGTCAGTCAACCCATAGTGACCCTGTATAGGGTTTCCAAGGAGTGTCTGGTGAGCTTGAACCACCAAGCTCGCAGTTCTAACTGACATTGCAGTCCAGCGTGTTAGCCCACAACTCCACTGAGTCAGAACTGACTCGAAGGCACTCAACAATCACAGTAAGGCATTCTCGATGTAATCATAGAATTGTACATTAGGCAATCCCACCAGAAGTCCTTGAGAACCCCTTTATCCCCCACACAACCAATGATTACTGTTATCCTATTTCTGGTAAATGTATTGTGTTGTCAGAGAGGAACACAGTTGTCATTTATGACTTCATATTTAATTGATGAATTATTGATACAGCCTTGTATTTAGCTCTAGTTTTAATTACTTCTTAGCTATTTTTATTTTAGCCAATGGATGTATTTCTGATCAATGATCTTACCCAAATAGTATTATCTTACAAGAAAACTGAATAGATATCTTTCAACTTGAGTTATGCCAGGACTCTACAATATTTTCTTTTAATTACGAATTACCATGACTTATCCTGTGTTTCTAAAATTGTCAAAATATCGGTGCTAGAGAAATAACCTAACGAACACAATATGCATATTTAGTTAAATAATGTAATTTGAGGTTGATAAGAAATGTTTGAAAACTCCTGGTTACTTCAGTTAGAAACGAGTGCTTTGTGTGCGCATGAAAGAGAGGCGAGGGGAGGGGAGAGGAGGGGAAGAGGCGCCCGAGGGACGTCCAAGGATCTGTTTTTAAAAATGAAAGACGTGAAAAAGTTTTGTGCATTATCATATCCCACATGGAATGGTTTTTGTGGCAGCCAGAATACAAAATGGAATATTCAAATTCAAGGACACGACGGGATCAAGTAAACAGAAAACTACCTAGTCAGAGTGAATTATTAAAACAACTGTCAACATTTTGCAATTCATATTTTGAAGAAGAGACTCTTCAATTGTGCTTAGGGGAAATTTAAAACCTAGAAGGAATCACAAATGTATATCTGGAGTTCTAACTATGTGACATTTCACTTCTGTATTTAATCCT